GTTCTAGTTGTTTACTTTGTTTTTGTTTTTTACTTTTGGTTGTTGATAGTTGTGAGTTTGTTGTCATCTTATTGTTCATATTTTTTATCTTCTTTTTCTTAGATAAGTTCCTTTAACATTTCATATAATAAGGGCTTGATGATGATGAACTCCTTGAACTTAACCTTAATCTGGGAAGCACTTTATCTGCCCTCCAATTCTAAATGATAGCTTTGCTGGATAGAGTAATCTTGGATGTGGGTTTTTGCCTTTGATGATTTTGAATGCTTCTTTCTAGCCCCTTCTTGCCCACAAGGTTTCTTTGGAGAAATCAGCTGATAGTCTTATGGGAACTCCTTTGTAGGTAACAGTCTCCTTTTCTCTTGCTGCTTTTAAGATTCTCTCCTTCTCTTTAATCTTGGGTGATGTGATTATGATATGTCTTGGTGTGTTCCCCCTTGAGTCCCAAAGAAATTGGACTCTTTGAGTTTCCAGGACTTCCTGAAGTCTGTTTCCTTTGCCAGATTGGGTAAGTTTTCCTTCATTATTTTTTCAGATAAGTTTTCAGTTTCTTGTTCTTTCTCTTCTCCTTCCGGCATCCCTATGATTTGAATGTTGGAAAATTTAAAGTTGTCCTAGAGGTTCCTAAACCTCTCCTCGTTTTTTTCTCTTTAACTCTTGTTTCTTCATTCCATACTGGTTGAATGTTTATTTCTTCTTTTCACTCCAAATTGTTGATTCGAGTTCTGTTTTCCTTCTCTTCACTGTTGGTTCCCTGAATATTTTTATTTCACTTTTCATAGCCTTCACTTCTTCCTCTATTTTGTGTTCATTCTCAATCATTTCTGTGAGCATCCTGATTCCTAGTGTTTTGAACTCTGCACATGATAGGCTAGCTATCTCCTTGTTGCTTAATTCTTTTTCTGGAGGGTTTTTTTTTCTGTTCTTTATTTGGGCCATATTTCTTTGTCTCGCACATTTGTACATTGTAAGGTGCAGAGCCTTAGTTATTCATCAGGGATGCATTGTAGCTATATGTGGGGAAGGAGTCAGAGAAGGAACAGTGCTGCTTGCTTGGCTCTCACCTGGCTTTCAGTCACTTCCACTGCACCCACAAGTGAACTAGGCCTTTTTGGTGGTGATTCCTGGGTGGGTCAGTTTGTGTATGTTCTAGGACCTCACAGTTCCCTCCAATGCCTGAGAGACTGGGACTTTCTCCCACCACTGCAACCCCTACAGCTTTTTACAGCCAGGTGTTTTGAGGCTTTAGTTTCTTGAGACTGTGCTGCCTGTCTCACTTCCCAGTTGTTCCTCCCCGCTTATCGGTTCTGGAACGTGGGACCGCCCGGTCCACCAGTCACTGCCTTGCCAGGCATCCTTTCTACCCCAGCTGTCTGTGTCTACTCCTCCTACCAATCTGGATGAATGTTTCTTCTTTAACTCCTTGGTTGTCAGACTTCCATACAGTTCGACCTTCTGGCAGTTCTGGTTGTTTTTTGTTTTTAAATTTGTTGTCATCCTTCTTTTGCTTGTGTGAGGAAGCAAAGCGTATCTGCCTCTTTAATCCATTTTGAATCTATTCTTGTGTGTGGTGTAAGAAGGTGGTCTGGTTTCACTTTTCTTCATGTATCTGTCCAATTTTCCCAATACCATTTATTGAGTAAAATATATTTAGCCCATTATATGTGCTTGCTTCCTCTATCTGTAAAGGCGTGGATTTATTTCTGGGCTCTCTATTCTGTTCCACTGGTCTATGTGTCTGTTTTTATGTCAATACCATGCTGTTTTGATTACTATGGACTTACAGTATAGTTAGCTATTAGATAGTGATTCCTCCCACTTTATTTTTCATTCTCAGGATCACTGTTTTTATGTGGGGCCTTTTGTGGTTCATATAAATTTTTGAAATATTTGTTCTAGTAATATGACATTGGAATTGTGATAGTAATTACATTGAATCTATAGATTGCTTTGGGTCATGTGGACATTTTAATGATGTTAATGCTTCCTGTCCATGAACATGGAATATGCTTCTGCTTATTTTAGAAGCATTCTTGATTGTACCTTTATAGTTTTTATACACTATAGTTTCACACACTCAGTTTTTAAGTCAAGTTTGGAGTATAACCCGCCAAAACTGGATTATTTTTATTCTTCTTTTTTTTATAAAGCAAAGGAACAAATCTCTGTTACATAGTAGTTATCCCAGAAAACCTAAAGATATTTAGGCATCAAGAAATCTTACTTTGCCCTGGCTGGTGTAGCTCAGTGGATTGAGTGCGGGCCTGTGAACCAAAGGATTGCAGTTCGATTCCCAGTCAGGGCACATGCCTGGGTTGCAGGCCAGTTCCCAGCAGGGGACGCACAAGAGACAACCGTACACTGATATTTCTCTCCCTTTCTCCTTCCCTTCCCCTCTAAAGATAAATAAATAAAATTAATTTTTAAAAAAGAAATCTTATACTTTTATTGTTCCCAATTTAGAATGTGATAGGGGAAAGACAGTTAAAAAGTGTCTGATGAAGCATAGGGAATCCAGTTGATAATATTGTAATAACTATGTGTGGTGCCAGGTAGGTACAGAACTTATCAGGAGGACCACTTTGCACAAGTTATATAAATATCTAACCGCTATGCTGTATACCTGAAACTAATATAATATTGAATGTCAACTATAATTGAAAAAATAAAAATTAACAAAGAGAAAATAAAACAGACAAAGGATTGTCTGATGAGATAAAACATGAATGTAAGTCTTTTAAAACACAAGATATATTTATTTTAAACAGTATTTTATAACTATGGCAATAAACAGTCATTTTAAGGAACTTTTTAAAAATGGACTTTTTCTCAAGATCATTCAAGTGTTTACCAGAAGTACCAAGAGTTACAGAATTATACCTATATCATCATTTATGGGCCCCTACATCTCCTAGACAGAAGCCGCGTGTTGACTCCTTCCCACCCTTGAAATCTGACTTGCTCTTCTGCTGTACCTCTCCACCTGAACCTTCTCCACCATCTCCCAGTCTTTTCTGTGTTGCTCTTCTGCTTTCAACATCTCATAGGATTACATTGAACCCACCTGGATAATCCAGGATAATCTTGGTGTTTTAAGGTCAGTTGATGAGTAATTTCATCTGCAAAGTTCTTCACAGCAGTGATTAGTGTTTGATAGAATAAGTAGGAACATATTTAGAATTTAGTCCCTGGCTGTAACTCCCTCCCTTCGGAGCCCGCAGTGCAGTGGCTGTGCACCGTGTCTGGTGTGAGGAGGAAACTGTCCTCCAAGAGCCTGCCAGGTACAGCCTTCGTAATTGCCTGTTGTTGGACCTGTATTTTGGCCTAGAGCCGGCCTCCTCAAGCAGATGTTGTAACTGATAAGAGAAAGGGCAGTCACTCACATTAGCCGGGAGGGAAGGATATTTGCTATTTCTGTAGTGTTCACAGAGCCTTTTTTAATTGCTGCTGCAACAAGAATGTGAAGGGGAATTGGTTCTGCTGCTATTTTGGTCTCACTACAAAGAGCAACTTTGTAGGTGCGTTTATACTTACATTCAGCAGGAGAAATCCAGACCTAACTGTGAGTGCCAGACTAGCGCCTGGATAGATGCAGCTGCTTTTCTCTTTTTCAGCTCTTTGCTGAAACTGAGACTTTAAGAAGTGTAGCACCTGACTGAGAAAAGCAATCCAAATGTTTTAGACTTGTAACTTCAGAACCAACTGCCTTATAGGAGATTATAAGCAGTGAATGAAGAATTAAGTTACTACATTCATTAAGATCAGCTTATTAAGGTAGTTTTTAGTTTAGCTTTGTTTTTGTTTTAAATAAGACTTTTAATGCTTGAAATAAAAGTACATTTTGGTTACTTAAAAATTTAGCAAAGAGAAAAAATGTAATTTCCTAGTGATGCTGAGTGAATCAGATATGTTTGTATTTATAGGATGTAAGTTGCAGGGGAGAAGTGTTTGTGGCTGCAAAGGGGAAGTTCAGGATTTTCCGGCCTGTCCTGTCAGGTCCTTGGGCGACAAGAATAGAAATTTGTTAGGAAGCACAATCTAATTAACAGACTCATGGTCTGGAAGGTACCTGTGGAAGAAGAAGACCTGAACTTAGAAAGTTGGGACAGTTGATTTAAGCACCCTGAGGATGATTCTCATCTAGTAAATGGGGATATTAATATCTATAGGTAGCGATACCTCATAGTAATGTGCCTAATGAGGTTGAACCCCTCGGCAAATTATTAAAGCTAATCATTTGAACTCCATGAGTTATACTTTCTACCCTTTTATCAGTCAAATCAAGCCTTTTGTTTCCTAATTTTTAAATTGGACAGTTTTGCAGCGGTGTTAGAGATAGCAACTTTTTACCCTTTTAGTTACTTAGGAGTTTAGGATCTTGTAACTTCTTGCTAGGATTACCAATACACAGTTCTGTGAGGGCATTTATGCCTCCATTCAACAAATTTTAAGAGATTGGATTCGTTATTTCTAATGTCACTGTCTTAGTTTGGGTAACCTGAAAGCCAACTGGAGATAAGGATTTGGTTCTCAGTAGTTTATTTGGGAGCTAGTGAAAAATCACCATGGAATGGGAAAGAGAGGCAATAAAACGTCTGTAAGAGTAAGGACATTTTGGGCTTCAGTCTTGCTAGGAAGCTTCTGAAAAACTGGGTAGAACATGTCTCAGAATTGCCCCACTAAAGGGCAAGGAAGCAAGGGGTTTTTTTTATCCATTATTGGCTGAGGGTCATTCCTGGAGTGTAAGTGTCCTGGCACTTTGGACCTGCCCCACCCTGTGACCAGAATATACGTTTGGGCAGAGAGCCCAAATTGTGGGTAGTAGGTGTGGAAACCGTTTCCAGGTGATTTCCATGGTAGGCAGAGGAGACAAAGTTGTTTTCTCCTTAAACATTATGTTACAATGTTGGACTGTTTACATCTTGTTACAGTAAGTACAATTAATTTTGGTAACAAATAGTAAAGCTTCAAGGCATTTAACATATACTGTTTCTCCTTAGGATTTTCTGTTGCAGCAGACCATGCTGCGAATTAAGGATCCTAAGAAGTCCTTGGATTTTTATACTAGAGTTCTTGGAATGACGTAAGTAAACTCTTTATTGGCACCTGTAATGTTTAAATATATAGGTTTGCAAATATAGTGAATGTTTTCATATCTGTTTTTAAAAATGGGTTAAAGTTTGCTTCATAAATCATAAATGTCTTGGACAAGGCTTGCTGACTAGGGCTTCTGTGAAGCTCCTCCCCTCTGTCCCAGCCTGGCTCACTGGACAGCTACTCTAGTGCCCGTATTTTCTCTTAACTCCCTTCTCTCTGAGAGCTGCCAGTTAAGTCCTTAGTCTGTCCAACTCTGGCTGGTGTGGCTCAGTGGAATGGGTGCCAGTCTGAGAAATGAAAGATTGCCAATTCGATTCCTAGTCAGGGCACATGCCTGGGTTGTGGGCCAGGTCGGAGCGTGCAAGAGGCAGCCAACAGAGCTAGATGAATGTGTCCCTCACACATTGCTGTTTCTGTCCCTCTCTTTCTTCTTCCCTGCCCCCCTCAAAAGTAAATAAATATTTTAAAAATTAATAAATTACTATTTCTCTATTAAAAAATAATAATACAAAATAAATCCTTGGTGTGTCCTTATCCTTTTGATGTTATAGCCACTTTTAGCCTCTTGTTTACTTCAGAAAACATATAGATATAAAGACATACTACTTAGAAAATGAATGACTGCCTAAAACTGGCCATCTGTCCCATTTTTTAGGATTTTTTTTTTTTTGCTGGATAAGTGATATCCACAGATCCCATAATTCTTAAAGTATTTTTGTTTATTTTTTATGATTTGAGGTTGTTGTTTATTTTTGATAATATACATAAAGTATAAAATGATTTTTAATGTACTGCTTAGATAACTCACACTGACATTGAGAAAAAAATTCAGGTAATACAGTATGTCAATGTTTAGAAAACCCAACCAGTTCAGAAAAATACAAAATGAAAAGCAGTAACCTCCCTCTCCTAGTTCTTCTCCCCAAAGATAATTGCTGTAAACAATTTCTTGTAATTTTTTTTTTCAGAAAAAGTATTTTGCATATATATATGGCACATTTAAAGGACAGAATGAAAACAAAGGAGCTGCACACTTGCCATTTGCAGGCATTTTACATGTTATTTCCTTGCATCTTCAGAGTAGGCCTGGAAGGCAGAAACCAAAGCTTAAAGACATTAAGTTACTGACCCCAAATTTGAAGCTAGTTCTGATTGGCTCCAAGTTGATGTTTTTTTAAAGAGCCCCCGAGTAGGGGGCTTGACATTGTACTGAAAGACATGCTCAGCTGAGGAGAGCAAGTTTCAGCAGGGTCATTTGCCTCATTCCCCACGTGGTTGGGCTGTAAGGCTTGGACAGTCTGCTTCAGGTGCAGAGATAGTTTTTCATGGTTAGAGTATTTGAGATATTTGATACTTTTATAAACAGATTAGATAGAATAAATCTTTTTTGTGATAAGTCAATACATAAATAGATCTTAGCAGGCCAAGGCATATTACATAGCAGTGAAAAGTAAAAGATTTGGAACAGAATTCTAGAAACTTTTCATTTGCTGTGATTATGAATGAGGTCATCTTGGAACATTTAATCCACAGCAATCTAAAGAAAATTGTAATATATGTATGCTCATTCTGAATACTCCTTGCAAGATAATCTTACACGCTAAACTCACTTTATAGACCATAACTTCAATGATCTTTTCTAAAACCACAGGATTTAGTAATTCATTCTCTCTTTCTCTTGTATCAATCACTCCTTTCCACTGGCTCTTTCCCTTCAACATACAAAAATGCTTAAGTCTTCTCTATTCTAGGATAATTCTTGCCCTCTGCCCTCTTGCCCTCCTTCCCATCATCCCCCACTGTCAGCGAAGGTAGACCATGCTGGCCGTTTGACTTGCTCACCTTTGTTCTCTCCCAGCTTGGGCGGTGCAGGCTCTGCTGCCCCACGCTGCTGAAACTGCCCTCACAGGATCTGCCCATATCTTGTGGCCTGTTCTCAGTCCTGTTTGACCTTTCTGCAGTATTTGACACCATTAACCACTTTATTGTTGACATTTGCACTTTCTGTGATAGTAGACTGCCCTTCCTTCTCTCTTACCACATAGCCTCAATTTTTTTCCTAGGAATTTTGGCTTAGTAAGAAATCAGTACATTTATTTATTTATTTATTTACTCTTTTTTATTTAAATTTTATTTCTCAATTACAGTTTATATTTAAAATTATTTTGTATTAGTTTCAGGTGTGTCATTAGACAATCATATACTTTTAATGCATTTATTTTATTAACTGAATGTTATATATCTGAACAGACAAAAAGTAATGCATTGAATTTTTCACTAAAAATTTTCTTTTGAAGATATCTTTTTGCTGTTTATTAAATGTTTAAGTACCATAATTCCAGCTAAGTTTCCTTATGTTTGAAGAATTAATGATATTTAGAGAATTGATAAATTACAAGTTTGCTTTTTAAAAGTTTTTTATTTCACTGATATTACAGGTGAATATAAATAGGTTGCTTTTTTCCTATTGAAGGCATTTTTATTGGTTTCCCCTGCTTTTCCTATTAAAATGGCCTCACTACACACAGGTCCTGTTCTTAGTAGAACTTGAATATTTTTATGTTGATTTTAGTATGAATCAACCTTTCCTGTTGTTAATTGATTCAGGCCTGCTGTTGTTTAATTTCAGGCTACTCCAAAAAATAGATTTTCCCACTATGAAGTTTTCACTCTATTTCTTGGCTTATGAGGATAAAAATGACATCCCAAAAGATAAAAATGAAAAAGTAGCATGGGTATTCTCCAGAAAAGCTACGCTTGAACTGACACAGTGAGTATGAGTTTTTATCTGCTTATAGTCTACATTTTTTAAAAGCTTGCCTTTTTACACTTTTTTTCCTTTGTAGCTTAATTCAGACCTGGTCTACCCAGTCACTCTGCATTTGTAACAATATGTTATATTTTTTATGGAGCTTTTGGTCTTTGTTCTTGTGGCATAAGTAGAACAAGTGAAATCATTTGCTTATTAGATAATCTAAGATTGAAATGGCAAAATATTTGCCAAACTATAGCTAACAGATATTTACATACTGTAACTAAGGTCTTTATAAAGTGTTGAAATAGGTATTCCCCTTCTTTTTGTTCTTTATGTTGTTTTTGTATACTTTTTGACAACCAGTAAACAGCATTTGTTTCAGGGGCTGTGATTTCATGTGTCACCGGTTTCACAACAGCTTTGAAATCGGACAGACCTAGACATCTGTCATCCTTGACTCTGAATAAGTTACATCATCTCCATAAGTCACAGTCTAATTTATAAAATGGAGGTGCTCAAATACAGCCCATGGAGCTGTTGTGAGTGTTTAATGAAATAAAATGTGCTCGGCATGATAAATGATAGTTGCTTTTATGGTTACCCGGGTGCCTGGTTTAGTCCCCTTGGTCTAGCTAAAATCACACTTTGCCCATTTTGTCTGTTTGCCCTTTCTGTAGTTGAAAAGTTAATATTTACAATAGCAGAGATTAGACCAAGTAGATTAAGTAGCATATATATACACATATGTATATATGTAATATATAGTACATATACAAATTTACATATAGGTGTATATATAATATGTAGTATACATATGAGGTCAGTCTGTAAAGTATCCAGCCATGTACTATAAAAAAGAGACATTTATTGAAGAAGATACAAGAACCTGTGTACATAGGACAGTGACGCCTTAGTCCCCTTCAAAGCAGGCAACTTGGGACCTCACACAGTTCTCCCAGTTGCCATCAACTGCCCTGTTGTATTTTCCTGAATCTCATCAATGCTCTGAAATCTCTTACCTTTCAAAGGTGATTTCTGATTTGAGAAAAGCCAGAAGTCACAGGGTGCCAAATCTGGGCTGTAGCAGGGCTGAGTCACCTGGGTGTTCTGATGTTTCAGAAAAAAAAAAAAAACCTGCCTGAGGTATGATACATGAGCGGGCTTGTTGTTGTGATGAAGCTGCCAGTCACCAGTTGCCCATAGCTGCAGCCTTCTGAATCATCCAACTAGTTTCTGCAGAGGAACATTTAAGTTTAACACAACATTTGATGCAGATTCGTTGCTCTACTCACTCATTCATTTTGAATGTGATGACTACACAGTACACATGCTCACTCAACAGCCTTTACTACTCCCACTGACTAGTACAGCGAAGTCATTGTTCACACATGCACATTCCAGTCCATTCTCCTTGGCCACTGGTTTACATCAGTGTTGCACAAACTGTTCTTGTTATATTAACAATGGCTATATGTTTTTCAGACAGACCCCATCTATATAAAGATTTTAAAGACAAATTGTTGCAAATTTCTTTTCAGAATATCTGCTCTACAGGTCACTTGTAATTACGTTTTCCCTCCTTTTATAGTAATTGGGGCACTGAGGATGATGAGACCCAGAGTTACCACAGTGGCAATTCAGACCCTCGAGGATTTGGTAAGCTTCCCTGTTTGCGTGTAATGTATATGGATTTGTGTGCTTTTGCACTGTGTCCCTATTTATGATGATAACAAATCTAAAACATTAAGATTATAATTAATTTATGGTTATTTTTATTTACGCAAATAATTTTATTGAGGAGTTGCTGAAGCTCATGTCTCAGACTAAACTTCAGATCTACTCTCACAGTGATTTTACTGTCTGTCTCTCTGTTATAGTGATTTTTTTAATATTTAAAAAAACTATGGTTAATAATCTCGATTTTTGCTAGCTTGCGCCTGAGCCTTGAACTGAAATCTCTCACTCAAGATAACAAGATAACAGGCTTAAACTGGCTGCTATTTGGTCAGTGTCAACCTTAAACCTTTCAAGTATGAGTAAATGATTACTTTTTTATTCTTAATAGATTAAACTATGTATGAGCCAGTATTGGGCATATTTTAAATAATTTATATCAGAGAAACTAATTAATGTATTATACCCCTCCAGTTAGACTTAGATTCTTGTTCTGTAATGCAGGGTGGGGCAAGAGTAGGTTTATAGTTGTGAGTACACAAAACACAGAGTTTATTCTTGTATTATTATTTATTAATTATTGTATTATTTTCCATATGTAGAACTACTTTTGCCCCACACTGTATATTATAATTTTTTATCCTACTTGATTCAGTCTGGTTTTGGATGCCTTTTGTTTTGGAACACACTAGTTGTGGAAGGCACTTGTGGTGCTTGGCTGCCCCGTTGTAATGATTTCTTCCTTCTCTCCGCCTTGTTTTGGGCATGGTCACTTCAGGTCACATTGGAATTGCTGTTCCCGATGTACATGGTGCTTGTAAAAGATTTGAAGAACTGGGAGTCAAATTTGTGAAGAAACCTGATGATGGTGAGTCTGCTGCTTGTTTTCTTCAGGCCTCTCTTTTAGTTACAGAACATTTGCTAAGCACCCACAGAGAGGGAGCTGTTGTAGTAAAGCCCTGCCCTTGGTTGGAAGTAACTTTGAAGATTTCTACTTCAACCAGCTTAAGGAAAGAAGGGAAACCATTGGAAGAAACCTGCTTATTTTAGTGAAATGGAAGCCAGCAAGCTAGGGTGGCTTCACAAAGGACTAGACACAGGAAGTGGGGAGCCAGTGAAGGCTTAGGCTCCCTCACCCACCCCCCGACCCTGCCACGTTCTCTCACTGGCCACCAGCTTTCACTGTCTCAGCGGCTATATAGTCCCCCACCCCAAATAAGTTCCTTAAAGTCTGTTTCTTCCTGATATTGCTGTAAGTATACCAAATCTCTTTAGTTAATAATTGCCTGGTATTTCTTGTTCATCTTTTACAACTTTAGCATGTCCTTACATTTTATATGTCTCTTAAAATAGTATATATCTGGATTTGGGGATTTACATGTATTAGAATTTATTTTACTTAAACCTATTTCTGCCATCCTAATTTATTATTTCTGTTTTCATTTGAAACTTTTCACTGTTTCATCTGAATCCTTTCTTTTCATTTTTTCAATTAAAAGATTTGTTATCCAGATATTCTGCCTGGTAGGAGAAGAACTTGCTGCCTTTTACTCCCGTCATGTTCTATTGCCCATTCTGGCATAGTATTGATTTTTTAAAGATGATAAATACAAGGGTGGGCAAAAGAAGATTTACAGTTATAATACAAATAAAAATGCAGTGATTAATAATGCAAGAATAAATTGCTTCACGTACAACTATAAACCTACTTTTGTCTATGCTGTAGATCAAGGTGTTTGATCACCGTTTCTCTGTACATCTTCTACAGCACTTTTTACTTTTCTGTCTCTTTATTAAATACCTCAACCCAAACTGTTTGCAAAGAATTTTGAGGCTTTGTGTGCCTGGGAACCATGTCTTTATACATAAATGGCAGTTTGGTTGAATATAAATTTTAGGTTCATTTTTCTTCAGTCTTGGAAATAGAATGCCATTGTCTTGGTTTTTCATCCACCGTTGCTGCTGAAAAAATCTGCCGTCTGATTTATGTTCTTTTGTATATTGTTTTCTGTTTTGTTCTAGAAGCTTTTAAAATTTATTTCTTTGTCCTTGCCTTTCTAGGAGATTTACTCATACTGGCATACCACTTAGCTAACACTTCCTCAAATGTATCTTTTCTGATAATCATCTTTTGTGTTCTCATCTACTGTTTTATTTCAGGTATTATAATTTGGATTCTCAAGTTATGCTTAGTTCCTTTAACTTTTCTTCTTTTTTTCATATTGCTTATATTTCATATTCCATAAAAGAATATGAAATATAACCATGTTTTAATAGTTCTTGATCCATTGCTGTAATATATGTTCTTCTGTTTGAATCTATAATCCATTGTTTTATGATTATGTTCCTCAAAATCTTGTTATTTTGGTCTGGGGTTTTGTTTGTTTGTTTGTTTGTTTGCTGTAGCTATTAGCTATTCAGGTCCATCAGGCAGTGAGAATGAGGGGAAGACCAGATTCAGTCCTTAACAACCCACTGGCCTTAGGAAGATGGGCTGGACAGAGACCCATAGGCACCTGAAAGTGAGAATTAAACACATCACATTCTGCATAACAAGTCTTTAAGTTAGATCTTCTTGCTTTGTCCCTCGGGGACAAAGTGTTAGCAGTATTAGTAAGAGATAGTTCTGAGATGGTCATCCCTTAATCCTGGTTATGTAGAAAGTGAAGGTTGGAGATTACTTGGTTCCCACGTGTTTTTCTCAGCTTCCCACGGTTTTCTGTGGTGCTTTCATTTACTCCTGAGGACATCTGAACCAGTAGTACAAACCCCCTACGATGCGGGATGGGTGCTGATGCCCAAGGTACTAGGAGGAATAGCAACCAAACTAATAGAACACCCTCTCTTTATTTTCCCACAGCTATGATGGACTGCCTTCTGGTCCAGACCTAAAGTACCCCCGTCCACATAGACCGGTTAAAACAGTCACCCCACCCATCCCCAAAATTCCTCTCCCAACCATCACAAAAAAAGTTCTTTTTCCCTCTACTTGCCATCTGTGTTCCTCTGGGGTAGACCTTGGAGAAAGGAACCAGAGATAGGAGTCAACTAATTCAGCATCTTGGTCCCATGATGAATTTCTGAGGTCACATTTTTCCATTTAAGCAAACAGCTCTACTGCTGGACCTGCTAGTTTTTCAGTCCCAGGTGTGAGTTCCTGTGAGGAAGAATCTGATCGGCAGACCTTGGGTTACACAGAGTAGTCTTGACAGGGCTGGTGTCGCTCGACCACCTGGGTCTTTTGGCTGTGGGTGAGCCCTGCTCTCTGCTCCCTTGGGTACCTCCTTATTCTTCCTCTTTAAAATAAGACAATTTCTGTAACTACGCAACTGGTAGCATGAAGTGATATTGTGAATTGAAGTAATCACCTGATAACTAGAAGGTGTAGCCAGTCCCACAATTTATTTCATTAGAGTTGGTTTCCAGGTAAGTGTAGAAGATAATTAGTCTTTCTGAAAAACAAACATTTGGGCCACACTGACAACAGAATTTTTTAAGGTTAAAACTATAAACAAAACAATGTATTTTAATGAAGCGCAAATTGAAATTGAAGTAATAAAAGGTATATTTTAAAATTTTCAGATTTTTTAAAAAGTCTTTTTAATCATGAAAATCATTTTATTTTACAGGTAAAATGAAAGGCCTGGCATTTATTCAAGATCCTGATGGCTACTGGATTGAAATTTTGAATCCTAACAAAATGATAACTCTTACTTAGTTCTATGACAATAATGCTTTGAGATTTCAGTGAGAAGTGAAAAAGTGAAACAATGTGATTTGAGATATTCAGATAACAGAAGCATCTAGGGCTGATGTTTCACTGTCCCAGTTCAAATTATTCTTAAGTCCATAACCCCTCCTGTTTCAGCTGTGTTTTTAACCTATCTATTCAGTCATTCTAGTTTTAGAGTAGTGCTTTGTCTTGTGTCCTTGAACGTAGTTGTATAACATTACTTTTTTAGGTAATAATTAGAACAGTTCCCCTCAAAGGCTGTATTTGCCTTCTCTCTCCTAACTATGACTTCTCTACAAGTCTACCTTTGAATCATTTAACAAAAAAACATTTAACATGTTCTTATGGCAACCTTCTGGGGTTTTAGTTCCTCAGAGGTAATTTTCACAGTAGAAAGTAAAGAGTGCTGAACAAAAATGAAACTTTCTGTGTTCTTCAAATAGTATAAAGTGTTTACAAAAGAGAAGGCACTCTTGGGAGCAGTTCAGAATCCTGCTGACAAGGATGCTGGCAGAAAAACTAATTTCTTCTTATTTATAAAGTACTTTCAAAGTTCAAGGACTAACCTCTTTAATTTGGGAAGGGGGAGGAGGATGGGGATATTATTTCCTGAATATGTATGTCACGTATTTTATCTCGCTTAATCCTCCCAACTATCCTGTGAAAAAGGAAAGAGGCTAGACATGTAAAATAACTTGAATAAATTAAGACAATAAAAATAGACTCAAGTACTCAAGATTTCATCATCATAATTTTTAGTATTTAGATCGTACCTCATAAATTAGGACCTCATGACATGCCCTCCGCTAGTCCCCTGTCGTGAATACCTTCAGTGAGCTAGCAGCGTTATTCTCCCAGCCTGGGTACCTCGAGGAGGGAAGCAGTCTATAGCACACAACTGCTCTGGGGATGCCCGTTCTTGTGTGAATGCTGCTTGTTTTACTCTTCCGGATGCCAGTAATTATTTAGGATCAATTATGATCAGTGACAACATAACTTAGTTATCAGAAATCAGCTTAATGATCTTCCCCGACATGATTGACATTTGGTGGATTCTTAAAAACTAAACTGATTTTGAAAATCTCCTAGGGCCTGGAGGAAAAGAACGTCCAGTTGTGGTTTGACTACATTTAGATTTGCTGTAGACTCTGCTGGAAGGTCTTTGGGTAGCCATGCCAACTGCTAGAGGCACTTTACATTTCCTTTATGGATGGAATGGATTTATGTGAGCAACTCAAACAAATAGCAATACTCATAGACCAGAATAAAATCAATATTTAATAAGACAATGTTTAACTTGTAAATTTCTGTCCAGCATGTTCTTTTTCGAAAAATTTGTTTTATTGTTGTTCAAGTACATGTCTGCATTTATCCCCAACCACTCCCCCCTTCTCCAGCCACCCTGCCTTGGGTTTGTCCTAGAGTCCTTTATAGTTGTTCCTGAAAACCCTCCCCCTCCTTTCCCCCCATTATCCTCTCCTACTTCCCCTCTGGTTACTGTCAGATTGTTTTTAATTTCGATGTCTCTGGTTATATTTTGCCTGCTGGTTTGTTTTGTTGATTAGGTTCTACTTAAAGGTGAGATCATACAGTATTTGTCTTTCACTGTCTGGCTTATTCTTAAAAGAAATAGAGGGCTGCCCTCAGGGAGTGGTGTGAGGGTTTAATGGGCTTGCTGGCTCATTCTGAGCTGAGAGTAGATGTAGTTCTGTATCTCTCGAAAAGCAGATAGTTTTTATGGGTAAGGAAGTGTGGGATAGGTGGAAGAGGAAAGTAAATAAGGAGTAAAGGCAGGGGAATTTAAAAAGTAGAGAGAAAGACCACCACATATCAAAAGGTAAGTTGTGGGAACCAGCGAAGACCAATATCACATGTTGGGTATGGAATTATCAAGTGAGAGGATTATTACATTAATAAATTCAGGCATGTAAACCTTATTTCCACAGATGAAGCCTTCTCTACTGCTGAGTAAAACTTGTCAAAAGATAGTCCTTGCTTATTCCTTAAATTCATCCTTATATGCCTTAAAAAAATAGCTATTTGTATCACCAGGCTTTGGAAGGAATTAGGACAATTCACTAATTTCCAAATTAATTTACCTGAGAAGTGGTGATGTGAAAGGGCGAAGCTGACCCCAAGAAGTGTTCTTGTTTTCCACAACTGGACGACAAGCCTGTGTAGCTACTGTCAATGTAAAATAAATCATTCTCCAGTGAGCCCCACACAACTAACCCTGGGACTCATTTCTACTACAGGCAGTTTGAAATAGGAGCTGATAGTTGAGAGTTACTGATGACTTCCCTCCGCAGTATTCTGACCAGCACTGTGTTCAGTGTGTACGTACACGTTTTTTAGTAACATAACTGCTTGTGAAGAGAGTTACATCAGTAAGAATGCTTGCTGCTGGCTATAAGACTCTACTTTATCAAATGTAACAAGCACTTCAGAGGTTCTAAAATGGGTTGATACAGGGTTCAGAGATACCCAGGACCTCAGTTCCTTCCATCTCTCAGCCTGTCATTCCCAGCGGGGTTTTTTGGGGGTAGTAATACTTCAGATCAAAGATGTCCACCATGATTCCAGGTGTCACATATATGCCAACAATGTCCAGTGAAAGAAAATAACCTTTTGTTTCTCAACAATTTGCCTTTTTTTCTTTTCTTTTTTATTGTATTTTTTTCATTACTATTTATCCCCCTCATACCCCTCCCTCCCCCCAGAAGTCCTCCTGTCTTCATCAACACTGGGTCACTTGTCTCATCACTGGCAAAGCGAATGGGACCACTGACTTCAATGGATTATATTTACCCAAGTTGCCTGCATGCAGGTTGACACTGGATCAAATTTGAGACTGCCCAAAGAAGGGCTTCTGGGTAGGCGTGAAAAGAAAGTGCAACATGGGGGAACTAAATATTGGGGACCTAGTTGGTGCAGGGTGCTGCAAACAATAAACCACTTCCTGCCCTCGAAGACCTTAGTCTAAGATTGTGGTTCTCAGACTTCGTGGACCCTTTTTTATTGTAACATTGGAACATTTATAACACCTATCACTCCCACTGTCCTAAAGTAAAATTATACGTAACTTCCCTGTATACACAGTTTTAAAAAGGGTCAATCCAGTGCCTTCTTTGTAATACAAAGGAGAAAGGATCAATTTCTAATCAAATATGTTTCAATATGTAAAAGCTCAGACACTGCTACACCAGAAAAAAAGTGAAGTAGGTGCTTTTAAATATGGAAGAACTAAAACTTCAGTAGAATATTGTTAACACTATTCGATATTTTAAAAGACAGTTCATAATTCATGAGGAGCTATAATGTTACAATTTCCAATGCATACTGATAACAGGTGTATTTTATTGGTCAAAGACCATGAATAACGCTGCTCTTGGAAACATTTTTCAACATGGTGATCGCATCTTGCTGAAGTTTTGAATAAAAGAATAATACTCCTGTGTGTAGGATAGTTTTGTCCCTGGTAGATACTCATGTTATATATACAAATAAGTAAAGTAGAAGTTACAGGCTCACATAATAAAGAAGCTTTACAATTTTTTTAAATAAAATTTTATTGATGTACAACATCGGTCTCTAACCTTTTTGGCACCAGGGACCAGTTATGTGGAAGACAATTTTCTACAGATGGGGCTGGTGAAGGACAGGAAGTAATGCCAGTGAAGCTGACTTGCTCACCCCCCATTCACCACCTACTGTGTGCCTGGTTCCTAAGAAGCCACAGACTGGTACCTGTATGTGGCCCAGGGATTGGGGACCCCTGACACACAACATTGTGTAAGTTTAAGGTGTGCAATGTGTTGATCTGATACACTTACAGACTTGTGGGGTAACTCAGGACACGGCCCCTCCACAACCTCAGAGAACAGGTGGCTGCCTGGCCAGCAGCCATAAGGAACGAGGAAAACAGTCTGTATTCAGGTATCCCAGCCAACTCAAAGCCCCTGTGTCTTAAGGCTCCTGTGTTTATCACGATAGTGTAGAATTTCCACAAGCTACTACCTCCCTAACTGTGTAAGTAGCACCGAGGCCGGAGGGGCGCGGTCCCGCCCACTGGCCTGCCAGCGGTGCACTCCTCTGCGATGTCAGTAGTAAGCGGCAGGTCCGCATCTGCTGGTCCTCCGGGTGGGGGTTTCGGAATGTCACGAACACAGGTGTGGCTCCCTGGTTTGGAGCTCCTCTGTAACAAGGTTGCGCAATGATGACTGACACCTGTAGCACGTCACGTAACTGGCATTTCGTTTTTGTGGTGGGAGTGGTTGAAATCTGGTCTCAGCAAGTTTGAAGTTTATAATCCAGTGTTGACTAATCACTATGCAGCGCATGAACTCTCCAGGACATATCTGCGAGTTGCAGAGTTGTATTTTACAATTTAAAAAAATAAGTAGAATAGTTTTAGATTTATAGAAATGTTACAAAAATAGTACAGAGGGGTTCCCATATATGCCAGACCCTGTTCCCCTTATTTTTAAAATCTTCGATTAGTATGGTACATTTGTCACTACTAATAAACCTGTATTGATACATTATTATTAACTGAAGTCTATATTCAGGTTTTCTTCATTTTTACCTTTTCAGGATCCTATATTACATTTAGTCATTATATTTGCTGAGGCCCCTTTAGAATGTGATAGTTTTTCAGACTTTCCTTGTTTTGGTAACTGGCAGTTTTGAGGAGTTAATCACATACTTTGCAGAGTGTTTCTCAGTTGGGATTTTCTGAGAAATTTTTTTCATGATAAAACTGGGGTCGGGGGTTTTAGGAGGAAGACTACAGGGTAAAGTGCCCTTGTCCTCACATCACAGACATATGGTGTTGACATGATGACTCACCGATGATGTAAACCCTGATCACCCCACTGCAGTGGTAATGTCAGGTTTCTCCACTGCAAAGTTACTCTCCACCCACCCCGTTTCCCTACTGCACTCTTAGGAAGGAAATCCCTATGTGAAGTCCACACTTCAGGTGTGGGGAGTTATATTCCTCCTTGAGGGGAAAAGTGGCTTTTATACCTAAAGGAATACTCACTGAGACTTGAAAGTCTGCAGGTTCTTATGGGGAGTTTCATATCCTTGCCTCTCTCCACTAAATACCAATATTGAAACCCAACTGAGAATGCCCCATCAGTTTCCAAAACAACCCCTAGGGGTCAGTACTGCCCTGTTGGAACCACTGGTCTAAGAGATCCAATTATAGTTTCTTCAGAAAAGGAATCTGAGTTCAGAATCCATAGTTTTTTTTCGCTTTCCTTCTCATACACATTTATGTTTGCCACCAGTTCAGCAATTTATTTTAGCTATTTGCAGTCCTTTGGAATGTTCAACTTTCCTTTTACATAAACTCATTGTTTTATCTCATTAAAGTGTATACTTCCAATTATGAAGATAACTGGCTCGAACGTGGTAGTAATGGGCACAATTGACTTGATGAGTATACAACTCATGCGGGAAGCAGAAGTACACGGGTGTCCTAAAACGTGGCCGGCTAGTAATAGTTTACTGAGCCTGCCAGAGCATCCATTTTTTACTGAGGAAATGATGACTCAGGTTGATCCAATAATTAGTGAAGTGGAGATGGGTTAGGAGAATTCTTGTCGAAAATGCATGTTTGAACCCTATCAGTATTAGCCAAGTTTATACAAGATTTTTTAAATGCCAGTGGCTAGAACTACTGTAGTTTTGATGAAATAGGCACTTTCCTGGACCTTATCTAAACTATTG